CTTACGTCACTTGATTTTGAAGTGGGTGAAGTCAGGTCTGTATCGGTACCAATCCTTTTCAGTTGAAGTGTGTGTGCAACTAGCAAAAGTGAGAAAAAGTCGAAGAAGCAGATTTCATAAAACATTTTGGAAAACCGTGACCGCGCTGGAAAGGTGGGCGGGGGTGTTGGGGCGGGGCTTGCAGCAGTACCTAGTGTGGTCTAGTTATCAACTGCCCTTGGTAGGGGTGTGTCCGATTTGATTTGAAAAGTGTCCGATTTGGTTTGAAAAGTGTCCGATTTGGTTTGAAAAGTGTCCGATTTGGTTTGAAAAGTGTCCGTCGACGGCTTTTCTGCTTTCTCCTATTGAAGAGCTTAGACCAACACGTTCATTACCTCCTCCTTATTGTCGTGGAATGTGCCTTTGGGACCGGTTACAAGGAGTGTCTCGTTGAATGATTCCCTTCTAAGGAGCCTACACGCAAGCATAATCATATACCTCACACGAGACTCCATCGAACTGGCCAGCTATTTGTATCGAATCGCATCCACGCATTGCTATTTGTGATTCCGATTTCGCAGAAACTGAAATAACTCGGAGAAGGTAATAGTTATTACAGATTGTCAGAATAACACTTAGAGACATATCCTATGACAAGCGGTGGGCGGAGACGCGACCACTGCCTCTTTCTCACTGATCGTCCTCCATGCTACAGTATCAGAAATAAGGGCTCACCAATGAGGAAAGGACAATAGTCGGGATCTTCGGCTATCCCGTTGTCACGTGTGTATTTGCTTCCAAGAAAGCAAAAGGAGGGTCATAAAGCTAAGTAGGGAGAGTCAAGTATTCGACTATAATTCAAAAGCGTGAGAGTATTTGGGACCGTATCTGGTTTGAAGGCAGACATGCAACCGTCGATGGAAGCTCATGAAAAGGGTTTATTAGCCTAGCGGAAAACTTCTTCTCTCATACCCGGATTTTTCTAGTTTTTTTTCTTTCTGAACAATACTCTAGTGATTAGACTTTGTAACTAAATCACTTACTATAGTGAGCGGTTATTTTCTGGCAAAATTTGACCTGGCGACCGCAATCGACAATACGAGACGGTTGGTTATATTCCACTCCCTCGAGCACACCTGGAAACTATTTGCTGAAAAGCAGGTTTATTGGGGGAGCAAAAGCGGTGGAAAGAGTAGGTTAAGGACAGGGTCACTAGCAATGAGACCATTTTGGACTCCTCATTGGTGCTACTTCGGGACAAGAAATGAGCAGCAACGAGAAGTATTACGCCTCCCTCATCATCAGTGAGGGAGAGTTCAGACTTCGCGATGACGCGCGTTGACGGCTGCATTTGTAACAGAACTCCAATGCTATAGAACGCAGCCGCAGACGGCAATCGATATGCGTCAGCAGCTTGTGTTTAGGCAGAGTATGGGAGCAGGAGGGTGGACGCTGTCTTCACACAATATGGTACCCTTCGATTCTTCTATTCTGTTGAAACACAAGCGGCCAGTGCCGACTGAGACTGCATGGTTGGACCATGCAGTCCCGGTGGGCACCGCCGCTCCTATCCTCCTAAATCTCTCAAAACACAAGCGGCCAGCGACGATTCATTGTGTGCGGGTGCATCCGCGTGCACAACCTTGGAATACTGTTGCAGTTGTGGCGGTTGTGGCGCAATACAGTGCTTTACAGCGCGTCGACGCGCGTCATTGTAAAGTCTGCACTCTGCTTGATCTTTCACATGACTTTTTCCATTCAATGCATGTTACGTGAGGTTCTTATTAAACATTGTGAGTAGGTCTACAATCAAGAACGTATCCCACTTTCTTTACTCGAAGACTGCCTAACAAGGGTGACAGGGGGGGGGTGGTGCTTGGCGTTCTTTAGTGTTCTCTTTCACCGAAATGGTGTTCGAGAACCGCCAAACCCTTCTGTGATTCCAGATTGATCAAACGAGTAACGAATATAACACCTGCATGGTGTACAGTACTGATTTCACACATTTTTTAGAAGTTACGGTGCAGCTCGGCGACGGGGGAAGGGGATTTTGTGCTGTCATTGTTTCCCTAGTTCCGGTTTACAAGTCTCACTCTGGCGAAACCTGTGAACTCTTGTGAAGCTGGAGCAAGGTCGTCAAGCCATCATGGTAAAACCTGTCAACTCGAGAAGAGGCTGTCTAGATAGGTCGACACGTCGATGGGAAATAGCAAAACGTGCAAAATGCCCCCCTCTCCCCCTCCCGTCGCGAACTGCGCCGATGTTTCTTTACACCCAGTCCATCACAGCCGCTGTTGACAATGTCACAATCAGCGTTGGGTCATACAGAATCGGAACTGTACCCTTTACTGCCCCCTTCTTCGAAACGCGGCCACGTTTTCGTCGAGATTTTTCCTGGCGATACTTTTGATCAAAAAATTGCTGCTGCAGGTATCCTAACCACCCTGACCTCTGATTACAAATCTTACATTGACATCAAGAGATTGTCTGGCGCCCGTTTCATAAACGACAGCGAATCAGAACAACTACCACCTGTGTTCATAAGGCTTTGGGATCAACAAGAGTTGATATTCAGATTTCTTCTCCAAATAGCCTTTTCCAACGATTAGGAAACTACCTTGCTGGGAGGACTGGCAGCACGTATAAATCCGCTCTATCGGTGGGCAATGACATCTACGCTATCGAACAATTAGGCAGCGTTCAGACTTCGCGATGGCAGCGCTTGGATCGCGCGTTCGACGCGATCGATGCAGTAGAAAGCATGCGCATCGATCGCGCCGAACGCGCGGCCGAAGCGCTGCCTTCGCGAACTCTGAACGCTGCTTTACGAAGGGCTGGCTTCCTTGTCACACACTTCTACGCGACGAAAGTGGTACCTTGTCACGCTCCGTACCTTTCCTCACGAAAAACTATTTCATCTAGGTAATCACGAGTTGTGCCTCCAGGACAATAAACCCTATGGAAACTCATGCGTCCTGTGACTAAAAAAAACACTGTCTAGCGCGTTTCAGTGCCATCATGCTGACCAGGGGGAGGATGCAAGTGAAACAGTGAGTGATGTCAAATATAACAAAGGCAAGTTTACGGCTACGTCATGTTCGGATCTTGATCAGGGCATGCTGGAAAAATGTACACTCGGTAGCGGGTGGGGGAGAGACGGAAGGAAGTGACATGGCTAATCCTCGCTAGAGAGTGTTCCCTCCCGAGGCACATAGAGCCAAAATTCAACTCGTGAAACTTACATACCTTGAATTTCATCGATGCATGTGAGCAAAGGAGTGTAGTCGGTTCGTATTATTGTGAAATTCGCCTTGCTTTCCAGTGCCGTGTTGTTGGAGGTGTTTGGCACTGTTGTCAGGAAAAGGAGGGTTTCAGCAATTGAGGTGATGTTCAAAATATTCATCATTAGAAAATAGAGCAGAAAAAATCGTGAAGGGTTCCTAGTGCTGAGTTTGCCGACACTAAAAATAATGTGTCCGTATTGGCAATAAAACTGATAAGACGACATTACGGCTACTGAATGGGAATTTATTGTGCGTCAGGTACTTGATCTTTGGAGAATTGACCACGTGAAGTCTTCGATGGAAAGAGCTATGTCAGCTCAATCATGCTAATGGGATTCCTCGAACGCTTGCCAAAATGTATACAATCGTACCCATTGCAAGCCTGAATAGTCCATTCTTGCCTCACTTGAGGAACACGCGGTCAATCATTCCTTCCATGTGGAGTTGTGGAGCTTTTTCAGAAGTCTAGCTGTCTAGCCGGCAGTGGCTTGGTGGTTGCTTGACCTTCCTAGAGATCCGATCGCAGGATCAGGCATCTTGTCGCGGAAAAATCCCCGGTTGCTGCCCTCCAGGGATGAAAGGTCCGTACAACTCTCCTTTTTGGTCGGTATTGTCCTAGTTGCGGTTCCAACCGCAAATTATGAGACCGATGCGCTACATGGCCCATTCAACTTCCATTGAATTTGTAGCCTTCTTGAAAAATGTATAACTTCATTCACACACAGTCGTTGCTAAGCGGTAGGTGGAATCCGCGACTAGGAGGAATCTACAGAAACCACGCTAAGCACTTGCGCACTTTGAATAATCGATCAAAAACTGGCGCAGAATCTCTGGGCAAACGCGAGTTCTTGTCATTCGTTCAAGCGTAACCTAGAGCGCAGACCTACGGTCATTATCCCCGAAAAGGATGCACCTTGAAGCGCAGCCAGATCAGATTTTTCGCCAGTTGTGGCAGACTCAGGATGACATCACTGTTGGAACAGGGCCACCCTGGCTGCGCTCCCGACCGCTCAAACGCCTAATTTGCATGGATCACCACTGCAATGGATTCAGAAAAAATCTTTAGTTCTGTCGTGGGTTCATGAGTGCGACAATTCGCAGTCGTGGATTTGGTGTAATGGTGAGACTCTGTTCCAGCTGCAGCAGGGGTTTCCTCCTCTACGTGGCCCACATTTTGTCCGGAAACCTGGGAAGGCTTTCATTACTCTTCTCCCACTTCTGCTTGATGAAAATCGAAGAACAGGGATGCTTACGTAACTTTCCCCAAATGCGCCATGCTCGTGACGTTCATTCGGATTTGCAGTGACACTTATAGGAATATAAACTTATAAAGCTATCCTCTGGGCCAGCTATCTCATAAACGTTGCCACTGCTCTATTCGTTAACGACTTCTGCTCCTACGATCCTCCTCCCTCCCATGAGGTCACACAATACCCCACGTCGTGGATCCCCGCCTCAAAAGTAACGCTGCATGACCGTGACCAATAACGCGACTCGGAAGTAGCGCTCCGCACCCGTTCACAGCATGTTTTTTTTGCGAGTCTCTATATTCTGACAATTGTATTATATCTGTATACATACCCTCTCATTTTGCAGCAGGACCAGGGCAGAAAATCCAAGCGGCCTGGCTGCAGCAACACCAGACGTCCTATCGTATTTCGATTCAGTGATGAGTAAGTGTGTATTGACAGATCCGAATTCAAAATATTTTATAACAGAAATATCAAAGAGCAAACTGTTCCATCAATAACACACGAAATATATACAAGAAAAACTAAAGCTTGGATGAAGACTAGCGCTTCGTGAGAATGACAAAAACAACGTCTTAGGCTGCCTTTACGCTCTGTCTCTGCTGCTTCGTTGGCGCGCAAGTTCTAGCGAGCGTGTCTTATGAATAAATGTTGAATTCCACGCTGGTCA